CGCTGGGCGCGCGCCGTCGGCGTGGACTGCAGCTCCCCGGAGCCGCGCTGCCTCTGGATGCCCTGCCTGGTCCACCGCGGGCCGCACCGGGCCAGGGTGAGCCGCGCTTCCAGGAGGGTGTGGGGAGTTGGGGCGCTGCGGCTGGGCGCGTAGGAGGGCCTCAGGTCTGGGCAGAGGCCTGGGGGCTCAGCCCTCTGAAAGCGTGCAGGCGGTGGAGGGGCAGAGGGGCTGGTGGCGTCAGGAATCCCGGAGTCAGAGCTGGGGCTGACAGGGAGCTCGGCGGGGGCCGGTAAATGGAGCCGCGGGCAGGCTTGCCCCGAGGGTCTGCACTCTGCACGGGAGGGTTCCCCAGTGGGCGCAGGGCGCCGAGGTGGCAGGATGGGCCCCAGCGGGTGGGTGACCTCAGGGCCGTAGCGGTGGGCCTGGGGGTGCGTTCTGATGGCCGGGATCTGCCGGGCTGGTGGGGCATGACTCACAGTGGGCGCTGTGCCCAGCCCGAATAGTGTCCTCCCTGCGATGACCTCTTTATGCTCCTGGGGGAGGAGCTGCGCCTCTGGGTTCTCGTTCCTGGTCTTGCCAAGCTACAGTAGTAGCACGTCTGCGTTGGCCTGATGGTGCCCTGCTCCCGCCACCGGCAGGTGCCCTCATGGCTCTTCCTTCCTGGCAGGATCTGGGCTAGGAGGGCTGAATCACTAATGTCCGGGCCCCTGTCTGTGTGTGGGAGGGAGCCAGCGTTGGTGAGTGTGTGAGCTGTCCCGTGTCTGCTCACCTTCCGAGCTCTCGGTGCTAGATCTTTCTGTATCTGAACGCGTCACCTCCTTCTGCTGGAAGTGACGGCAGGGCCCAGGGTGGCTCAGGTCAGAGGGGAGGAGTGGAAATGTTTGTGTGTGGTGAAGCCCTGAGGAGAGGGTTCAGGAAGAACTTCGCAGCCGGGACCACTGCCCTGGCTGGGCCTGTGGTAGGTCCTCTTCAAGCAAGGGTATGGGTGACATCTCAAAGCCTGGTAGGAACGGGTGGAGGAGGGGGACCTGGAAGGAAGGAGCAGAGGGAAGAGAAAGGCAGAGATAAGAGAGGGGGTGCCTGGAGGGTGTGGGTGAGGAGAGGACCTGAGCGAGGAGGAAGGCTCCCCCATTGCCCTGGATCCCGGGCAGGTCCCCTACCCCCAGGGAGCTGCACCCCAGGCAGCTGGCGGCTCTGGGCAGGATGTGTGCTGGGGGAGGGGCGGGGGGCGTGCGGGGACCTGTCCCAGCCACTTCTCATCACTGGGGCAGCTGGTGGCTTAAACCTTAATCCAGGACACCAGCGGAACAATGGCACGGCAAACAGCTCTGCGCCTGGGTGGGGGACGGGCAGGGGGGCTGCCCACGCTGGAGAGGAGCAGGAGCTTCTGCAGGGGGGCAGGAGGGGCCCTCTTCTCTCTGATTAGCTCCTTGCTGGTTGGCGCAGTAGGAAATGCAGGGGGTTTCAGGAGGAAGGAGCGGGGCACATCACTGAGTCTCCTGCCAGATACGTGAGTCCCCCCAGGTCTCCAATCTGGGGTGATCCAGACTTGGCGGGGCCCCTTCTGAGAATGGGGGCCCCAGCCTCACTGTGGATTTGCCCGGGCTGCCTGAGTCCAAGCATCCGCCTTGCCTTGGCCTCTTTCCTGTCTCTGCCTGCTCTGGCTCCTGGGATGCTCCTGCCTGGTCTCACTGCCCCTTCCTCCTCTCCCCGCACCTGCCAGGCTGTCTCGGCCTCCCTTCTGTGCAGAAAGGGCCAGGACTGGGGACGTGATGCTTGCGGTGAGCCCGCGGCATCACCCACTGGGGCTGCGGATGTGCCTGAGGCTTCTCCCGCCCTACATGGGAAGCAGTGGGGTGAAGTGGGAGCCACGCCCCTCAGGACTGGGGCCTTCCTCCCTCAGTGTGGGGGGCCAAGGAGGTGCGAGCAGCTGAAGGCGGCTGGGGGTGTGGCGGCGGGGGGGGGGCATCTGATTAGGGCAAGCCAGGCTGCCTGCTGGGGGGGAGCCTCCCAGCGTTTCCTGCTCCAGCCTCCCCCGGACGCCCACCTTCTTCATTGGCCTCTCTGTGCACAGCCTCTCACGCCCTCCTGTCACCCACTGTGCCCTTGTCCAGCGAGACCTGAGAGGGGTCTTCTCTCAGGTGCCACCTGACATCCTCTTGGACACTGTCGCTGCCCCACCTGCTTCCGGCGACCCCGCCGCGCTCTGGGACCTGCAGCTGTTCCTTAGCACTGTCTGATGTCCCCGCTGTGCCCTCGAAGCTCCTGGTCCCCACATTCTTGCTGCCACTCCTGAAGGCTGTGTGTGGGCCGTGTGTCTGTGTACCTGCGTGTGCCTGTCTGCAGTTACTCGTGTTTCTGTCTGCGTAAGCGTGCGGACTTGGTGCTGCTGTGGGTCTGCCTGTGTTTGCCTGTGCACCTGTGTGTGAGCGCTACGTTCTGTCTCTGCGCATGTGCGTGTCTGAGTACATGGGTGTGAGTTGTATGTGCTTAGATGGCAGCAGGCGCCTCCAAGGAGGAAGGCTGTGGGCGCCCCCGCGCACAGTAGGTGCTCGGCCACCGTTTGCCACACTGAGTGCGTACCTGGCTCCTGCCGGGTTCTCCAGAGGCCAAGGCGTCGCCAGGGGCTGGAGGGAAACGGGAGCTGGAGGCTGCTGAGCTGATGGCAGGGAAGAACGGAGCAGAGGGCGCGGGCAGAGCGGTGGACCCGTGGTTCCTCGTGGGTCCCAGGCAGGCTGCCAGCCACCTGCCACTCACTCTCCCTCCCGGTGTCCCCGCAGTTGCCACTGGGCCCAAAAGATGGGTGCTCTCCCGGGCGCCCGCTGCCCTGGCAGGGGCCGAGGACCCTGCTGCTGCGCAAGAGTCTCCAGGACGGCTTCGGCTTCACCCTGCGGCACTTCATCGTGTACCCGCCCGAGTCCGCCGTGCACTGCAGCCTGAAGGTAGCGCGCTCGCTCGCTCGCCTGAACCCGAGGCTCCCTGGGGCGGGGGCCCCCTCTGACAAGGCCCTGGAGGAGGGCTGCAGGGGCTGGGGCGCCTGCACTGTGTGAACAGGTCAGACCCCTGCCGCCATGGACTGGGTCTGCCCAGGAGAGGTGGGAGCGGCTGGCTCAGGGCAGGGGACCCAGAGGTAGGAGTCCAGGTGACCTCTCTGGAAAGTGGACAGCCGCTGAGGGGAAGGTGGGCTTCCTGGTCCACTGGCGGCTTCTGAGCTGGGTCTGCTGTCCCGGTCTCCAGTGCTCACAGGGTTGGTCCCAGCGGGCCTTCCCAGCGTGTCCCGGGCCTGTGCGGCTGCAGTGCTGCACCCAGAAAGAGCCACAGGGTGGGGCAGAGGATCCCCTGGTCCTGGGACACCTGAGGCGCTGTGGACTCGAGGCTGCCTTGCCCGCCTTGGCAGCTTCTCTACTCCGCCCTGGTGCATTTATTGCCTTGGCCACTGAGAGCCCTTCCAGCCCTAATATAAATGTCCGCTTCTCCAAGCCCAGAGGAACCGGCTTGCAGCCCAGCCCAAGGCTGCGGGTCGGGGCTGAGCCAACAGGAGGATGGGAAGAGGGGCGCAGCCGTCAGAGCCCCCACAAGGGCCTGGTCCCTTCTTTCCTACAGGGGAGAAGAGTTATGTTGGGGTCCGCAGCCCCTCTCTCCCCTTCTCCAGCACTGGAATCACCCTGCCACAGCTGTGGGGGTCTCCCTTAGGGTCCTCTCGGTCTCACTGCCCGAGAAGGAAAGCATGGGGTTCTGTGGCCTTTGTGTGCTTACGTGTCTGCACGCACACGTGTGTGTGGCATGCCGGGTACAGGCGTGCATGCACACGCTTCTGAAATGTGTCATGTGTGCACGTCACTGTTGGGGGCGCTGTTGTCACTGGCCGCAGCTGTGTGTAAGGGTGGCAGTGGTGTGGGCACTGTCCCACCCCTTGTGCCCAAGGACACCCGCCCCTTCAGCCCCCGAGCCCCCTCCTTCCCCACCCCTGCCACCTTAGCTCAGGGCGCCCTGCAGATGGGGGACAGTGGTGGCAGCAGTGTCCTAGGGCGCTGAGCTCGCCTTTCACAGGCACTGGGAGGCCTTGGCAGGGCGGGGAGCCAGGCACAGCCCCATCACCTTTGCAGACCCGGGAGGACTTCGGGGCCCTGGCGGAGTCCCCGCCTCCTCCTGCTGCCCTGACGCCTGTAGGGGCTCAGCCATCCAAAGAGATCCATCTGCCCTGCCGCCCCGAGCGCTCTGCTGTCACGTCACCTCTCGTCAGCATGCGCCCCACAGGGCGGGGGCGTCCTGGCTGGGCTACCAGCGAGTGCTGGGTCCAGCCCTTGCTCTGAGAGGCCTCAGACAAGTCAGGCTGTCATCTGTGAAATGGGCCCGGTGTGTCTGTGGAGAGGGCTCTGAGACGCCACATCCTGCTGGCCTGCGCCCTGTCCTTCTGCTTCCTTTAGTCCTGGCTCCTCCCCAAAGCAGCACCCCTTCCCAGGACCACCCCCGGGCCTCCCGGGGGTCTCCTTAGCTCTGCATCTCTCTGCTGCCAGAGACCGCTGCTCTGGCTGGTGTCCATGCCAGCCGGGCGGGGAGGACCTCTCCTTCCCCGCCTGGACGCTTTAGTGTGACTCCCGTCACTTGCTGGTGAGAGCGGGCGCCCCTGCATGTGCTTGCTTGTTCCTACCGCCAAGGGTCTGTGCGTCCTGTCCCTCCGCAAGGTGCCCCCTCCTGCCACTCCCAAACGTGCCTTGAAAGCCCCTCCCCAGAGCCCACTAATCAGGCCCTGCCCTCCCGCCCGCCGCGCTCTGCGCGGGAGATAGCGCGGCCGTCCCCTGCCACGCTGCTTATCTGTGTCCCCTGCTCTTCAGTGTGTGCCTCCCAGGGGACAGAGGCCTGGCCCTGGAGCCCTGGGTTCCCAGGTGGCTGGGGGGCGGGGCGGTGGGGTCGGCAGGCGGCCACGGGAGCCTGGCCTGGGACGTGGGGTAGAGCAGACGGGCCCGCCCCCTGCTGTTGGCTTGCTGGGAGGAGGTGGGGGGCACTGGACTCCTCCATGCCGCTGAGGGCTGGGCCCACTCTGTCGCTGCAGGAGGAGGAGAATGGAGGCCGAGGAGGCCGAGCAGCAGGCGGAAGAGGTGAGTGAGTGGGCAGGCGGGTGGAGGTGCCCAGGTCGGGCTGGCAGGATCCAGCCCCGGCTCGGCTGTGTCTCCCATTGCCCGCCCGGCTCCTTCTGTTCTGTTCTTCTCTGTCCTGTCTGGGTGCTCCAGGCGGCCCCTCCTCCCCCGCTCCTCCCGGCTTTCCTCACGTTTGTGTCCCTGTGGGCCTGTCCCTCCTGCAGACCATGGCGCGCTGGGGGGCACCTGCATCCTCCCTTCGGTTGCTCCTACCTCAAACCAAAGCCCAGGCCTGGGCTGCCGGGCCTAGGGCTGCTGCTGGGGCCGAGAAGGGTGGGCTTTGCCGATAGAGACGGAGGAGCCCCGGGAGAGCGGGGCCCCAGCTCTCCTCACACGCAGGTCTCGAACTCCTGCCTGTTGCCCTTGCGACCCAAGGGCCCGTGCCAGCTCCCGGCCTCCTACATGTTCCTGCCCTGCCCTTAGGCCTCTGTGGGCAGCCATGGGGACGGTTCTGTCCCTGTGCCACAGGCTGGGAGGGGGCTGGGCCAGTGCCCCAAACAGGCCCACTCTGTAGGTGACAGTGCTGGCAGATGTGAGCACGGTAGCCAGACCCAGCTCCCCGCCCCAAGGGAGGGTACCGTGGCTGTAGCGGGGTTTGAGCCTGCCCAGGGGCTCTCTGGACTCCCCGTGGAGCCCCCAACCCTGAGGAAGGAGTGGGCAGGAGGTGTGAGTGTTGGGCATGCTCTGGCATGTGGGGCGGACTTTCATTTCTCTGTGTGGGTTATCTTGAGGGCTAGGAGTCTTCAGGACTTGATAGGGAGCCTCCTGTATGGCATCTCTCCTTTGTCTTTTTTTTGTGTGTGTTTGTTTTGGATTTTTTGAGACAGGATCTTGCTATGTAGTGCAGCCTGGCCTTGAGCTCCCTATGTAGCCCAGGCTGGCCTTGAACTCACAGCTATCCTCCTGCCTCAGCCTCCTGAGTGCTGGGATTGCAGGTGTGCACCACCATGCCCGACAAGGACTGTATCTTTGAGTCCTTTAGCCTGCTTCCTGACAGGACTTGGTGGGCATCTGCGCTGCTCTCTCTGTGCCCGCGTAGGTTTTCCTACTCCTGGTGTGCCTGCTTGGCTTTCTGTGCATTGGTGGACGTGAGCGTGGGTGTGGTGTGTTTGTGATCACTCACAGTGCCCCGTGTGTAGCGTGTGTGGGTGTGACCCTCAGCAGCCACCCTGCTAACCTGGCTGGTGCCCACCAGGCCCCTCCCCCCGGCACCGCCTGGAGCCCATGGACACCATCTTCGTGAAGCACGTGAAGGACAATGGCCCTGCGCACCGGGCAGGGCTCCGCACAGGTGCGGCCGGTTCCCCGCCTCTGGTTAGGGTGGGACTCCTGGATGCGGGCTCTGGGCGGGCTGCTGACTCCCCGCTGCCATCTACACCTGGCCTGGGGGTTCCCAGCGGGCCGTGGGCACCTGCCTCTCACGCGTGCCCTGCCCTTGTCCCCAGGAGACCGGCTGGTGAAGGTGAATGGGGAGAGCGTCATCGGGAAGACCTACTCCCAGGTCATAGCCCTGATCCAGAACAGGTGAGCCCCTGCCGCCCCCTCCCAGAAGAGCCCCCCCGGGCCCTGCTGGCGGGGTCCTCGTCCTCTGCCCGGCCTGACATCGGCCCTGTCCCTGCAGCGATGACACCCTGGAGCTGTCCATCATGCCCAAGGACGAGGACATCCTCCAGCTGGTGAGTCCTGCGCTGCGCGCCCAGGGCGGGTGGCACTCGGCCCTCTCCCCGGCCCTGCTCCAGCCTTGCCCCCTGTGGGACACAGAAGGAAACGCAGCGTGGCATTGCCCAATCGGGGCCATGGGCCGCTCCCTGGGCGGGGGCTGCCTGTTACTTCATTCAGGGCTGCTCTGTGCCCCGGAGAGGGCAGGCACTGGCCTCGGCAGGCAGGATTCCTGCCCAGGTCCCGGAAGGAGGTGGCCCAGCGGGCCCTGCCAGACTGGCACGTTCTTGTCAGTGCCTGTGAGAGGTGCCTGGTCCCACCTCCCTGCCTGGTCCTGATGAGGGGCCTCTGGGTGACCCACATATACCAGGTGCCCCCAGACCACCCCATCACCAGCTTTGTTCAGGGCACATGCAGGTCACACCAGGATGACACAACCCCCAGCACTGCCCTTGGTGTAGCACGTGTGTGCTCCAGTGACACACAGCACACAGGCCAGGCGTCAGTGCAGATGCCCCCGTGCCACCCCGATCTGCCCCCTGATGCCACAGCCCACACAGAGCTGGACCTTGAGACCCTGTGTCCCTACCCCCTGGCAGAACCTGCAGAAGGTGGCAGCAGGGCCTGGGGCTCTTGCTGCGTGACGGGAACACCCGTGGGTGTGTTACACAAGTGCACGTGCCACAGCGTTCTCCAGCCCCTCGGCCCCCCCGCCCAGCATATCACAGAGCCCCACATTCACACGCCCAGATGTGTGCCCGAGCCCCACCCCCACACCTGGGCACACTGAGCATGCGGCGCAGGATGGGCCACCAGGAGCCGTGTCCCCCAGATGCCACCGCCTCGCCCACACACAGCTCTGATCTTGCGGGTCCCTGCCACATGCCAGCTTGCCTGGGCAGAGGTCTCTGCCCTGGACAGGCTCTCGTAATCACTGCAGTCACACTACCACTCTTGGCACCGTGCCCCCGGGAACCTCCATCCTGACCTCAGTTGTCCCCTGGGGGGGGATGGGACTTGGAGGTGGAGGGTTCGCCCCACGTCTCAAAAACCTTGGCTGGATACCTCCCCCCAGGCCGAGGCCAGGCTGGCTAAGAGGGGGTAACAGGGCGGGACCGGGTGCCCCCTCTCCGTCTGGCAAGGGCCGAGGGCGGATGGGGCAGCAGCTCCCAGCTTGGCCCCCCAGGTGGGCTTCAGTGGGCCAGCAGCCCAGATGTTGGCATCTGGGGGCCTCCACAGCGCCCCCACCTCTGGCGGCCGAGGGTGGGGCCCAGGCATTCCTGTGGTCGGGAGCCAAAGCTGCAGGCCAATCGGGTCCCGGCAGCGGCTGACGCCACCGCCGACGCGCGGCCCCTCCACACCCATCCTCCTCCTCCTCCTCCTCCCACCGGCCCTGAGGAGGGAGCCGGCGGGGGCTTGGGAGCTGCCGGCCAGCCAGGCAGACAGAGGGGCCGAGGCTGGGCCAGAGGCGGCCGCCGCCTTGGGGGCTTCGGCGGTGGGGTGGGGTCTCGGGCAGGCAGGATGCTGTCCCCGCCGCCCTGATGCCAGGAGCCCCGGGAGCCAGCGGGATGGCAGGAGGGAGAGGTATGTGTGTGGCTGTCCCTGTGCGTGTGCCAGGCTGGAGGGGTGAGTGTGCGGGGGTGTGGTTAGCGCATCCCTGTCACGTGATGTTTGTGCCTGGACCGAGGGGCAGTGTGTGCATGGGTGTCTCATTGTGTTCCTGTGTGTTGGGTGTGTGTCTCCCTGTGTCTCCTGAGCCGTGGTGTGTGTGTGTGAGTGTGTGTGTGTGTGTTTGGGGTCACCTCCCACCCTCTGATACTTCACTCTGCCATAGGCCCCCGGCAGCTGGGCCAGGCGGCCAGGGCCATCAGCCTGCAGTCTGTCCCTGGGGGCCGCCTCCTCTTTTGGCAGGGCCTGGGCGCGGGCCCTGTCATTCCTCAGCAATGCAGCGTCAGCCTCGGCAACCAGTGCCAGATTCCAGGCCTGGGGTGGCAGAAGGTGGCCCAGGGTCCCTCCGCTGGCTGCCACAGGGCCGGCCCCTCCTCTGGGCTGGCCTCGAGGGGACAGGATGTGGGACAGGCCCTCCTTCCCCGGTGGCCCAGCAGCCGGGCCCCAGCTCCCTATTCCCAGCCCACCCCGCCCTGGACACGCCCCTCAGCAGCTTTCTTCTGGCCTGCCACCTTAACTGGAGTTTCCCGCCCCACCCACATGGCTGTGCCACTGGGACATAAGGCAGCCGGGTGGCCTGTGGGAGCCAGAACACAGACGTGGGGACATTTGAGGCTGTGAGCTGCCCTTGTCACCTGCTCTGTCTAGAGGAGTGTGTGTGTGTGTGTGTGTGTGTGTGTGTGTGTGTGAGAAGCCTGCTGCTTCTTTGCCCTCCCCCTGGACTATCTGACACATGCCCGCCTGCCCCGCCCAGTCCTTTCCCTCCAGCCCCTTCCTGGGCACTGGGTGCCCCTGCTCACCTGTCTCTTTGTCCCTGGCCAGGCCTACTCCCAGGACGCCTACCTGAAGGGGAACGAGCCCTATTCCGGAGAGGCACGCAGCATCCCCGAGCCACCCCCTCTCTGCTACCCCCGGAAGACCTACGCCCCACCGGCCCGGCTGTCTGCCTGGGCCACTATGGTGCCTGAGCCCACCTCAGCCCTGCCCAGCGACCCCCGGAGCCCCGCTGCGTGGAGCGACCCAGGGCCCCGCGTCCCACCCGCCGCCCGCACCCCGCCGGAGCCCTCTTCCTTGGGGATGAGCCAGCCCCGCCCGAGCCCTGGTGCCTTCCCTCACCTTCCCTCGGAGCTCCGGACGCCCCGTGCCTTCCCGGAGCCCAGCAGCCGGGCGCTTCCCAGCAGACTGGAGTGCCAGCAGGCCCTGTCACACTGGCTGTCGAAGCAGGTGCCCCGCAGGGCAGGGGAGAGCCAGTGCCCGGCCATGCCACCCCGGGCCCGCAGTGCCTCCCAGGACCGGCTGGAGGACATGACTGCCCACCGTGCGTGGCCCTGCTCCACGTCCCAGGATGCCTTGAGCCAGCTGGGCCGGGAGAGCTGGCATCGGGCTCGCTCGGAGGATTACCTGGGCCGGGCCACCCGCTCCGCCGAAGCCCTGGGGCCAGGTGCACTGGGGTCGCCCCGCTTCGAGCGCTGTGGTTGGGCCTCCCAGCGTCCCGCTGCCCGTACAACTGCCTGCCCTGCTCGGGACCTGCCGGGGCCTCAGGCCTCTCCCGTGCCTGGCCTGCAGGGCCTGGATGACATTGGGTACATTGGCTACCGCAGCTACAGCCCGTCCTTCCAGCGCCGGACTGGCCTCCTGCACGCGCTCTCCTTCCGGGACTCGCCCTTTGGGGGGCTGCCCACCTTCAGCCTGGCCCAGACCCCCACGCCGTTCCCGCCCGAGGCCGCTGAGCCACCCCGGGTATCGAGGCCGGAGCCCAGTGCCCGGGCCCTGGACGCCCCCACTGAGGCTCGCCGCGAGGAGGTGGTGCTGAGGCAGAAGCCGCCCACCGGCCGCAAGGGCCAGCTGGGCCCCGCCAGGCAGATGGACCTGGGCCCCGGGGACGAGTGCCCGGAGCCAGAGGCCAGTGGGCGAGTGGAGCGCCTGGGCAGGAGGGTGGCCCCTCTGGCCACCACCGAGGACTCCCTGGCTTCCATCCCCTTCATTGGTGAGTGCCGCAGCAACTGTCCTGGGACGCCGGCTGTCTGCCCTGCCTGCGCCCCCACCTCCTGTTCATTCGTACTTTCCACTGTTGCCTTCCCCCTCCCTTCTTCTGTCCATCTGTTCTGCCTCAGGTCCCTCCCTCCTGTTTAAGACAAGGTCTTGCTATGTAGCCCAGGCTGGCCTCCAACTCACAGCGGTCCTCCTGCCTCAGCCTCCTGCATGTGCCGCCATGCCCAGCATCCCTCCTTCTTTTGTTCCTCCTTTCACATGCTCCTTCTTTCCACCCATCCTTCCCTCCCCCGTCCTTCCTCCCTCTGTCCCTCTGTCCCTCGGGTAGGTGGTAGTGTTAAGCCTGTGTGGACTCCAGGCTACCCTTAGTACTCGGAAAACAGGGTGAGCCAGGGCCACTGGGTGGCACAGGGAGATCTGGAGGGCAGGAAGGGCCTGTGGCCTGGATGGGACGTGGTGGGCATGGAGGACATAGAAAAGGACACTGTGGCCAAGACTTACAGGATGGGGACAGCCTATGCATCCCGGGGCCGCAGGGGGGCGGCAAAGGCTGCCTGCAGCTAGGTAGGGAGGGTGAGGTTGAGGGCAGGGAGGCTGGGGAGCCCCTGGGTCCTGGCCTGGCCGGAGGTGCTGCCTCACCCCATGCCAGGGTGGATGGGGGGCAGGAAAAGCCGAGGCACCTTGGAGCTGAGGTGCCCGTGAGGGGCGGGTAGGGTGGGGCTGCGGCCGGCAGGCTGGTGACACTGAGATCCAGGCTCCAGGGACCGTGCTGGGCCAGGCAACAAGGGAAGAGGGGAGAGGCTGGGGCTGGCAGGGCCCGGGAAGGGCCTGGCTGCGGCGGCTGTCACTCACTGTGAGGGAGATGTAGCTCCTCAGGGCGCGCCGGCGGATGGGAAAGACTGTCCTTAGCCTCGGGGAGCTCCAGTCTGATCTGGGAGAGACAGCCCAACTCCTGCCCGCAGCCTGAGGGGTCTGCTGGCCAGCCTGGTGCGATGTGAGGGCCGTGGAGCTGGCGGAGCTATGGGGTGGGCTCCGGCCTGTCGGTGAGGGGCGCAGAGCCGGCCAGGCGGCCAGGCAGGCAGCCCTCCGTGCGGTCACAGCGCTCCTCCTCCCTCGCAGATGAGCCCACCAGCCCCAGCATCGACCTCCAGGCCAAGCACGTCCCCGCCTCCGCCGTGGTCTCCAGTGCCATGAACTCGGCCCCGGTCTTGGGCACCAGCCCGTCCTCGCCGACCTTCACCTTCGCCCTCAGCCGCCACTACTCACAGGACTGCAGTGAGTGCCCCGCGCCGGCCCCGGCCCCTCCCGCCGTCCCCGCTCAGCCCTCCCGGCCCGCCCTGGCCCTGGCCTGCCTGACACGGCCGCTTTGCAGGCAGCATCAGGGCCGCGCGCCGCTCCTCCTACCTGCTGGCCGTCACCACCGAGCGCTCCAAGTCCTGCGACGACGGGCTCAACACCTTCCGGGACGAGGGCCGGGTGCTGCGGTGAGGACCAGCGGGCGGGACGCGGGCGGGGAGGCCACCGCCACGCAGGCCAGCTGTGTGGAGCCTGGCGGGCGCAGGCTGGGGCCCCGCGGCACCGCCCCACCCCGCCCTCACCTTGGTCCTTGCTCCCCAGGCGCCTGCCGAGCCGCGTGCCCAGCCTGCGGGTGCTCCGGAGCTTCTTCACCGACGGGGTGAGCGGCGGGGCACCTGGGGGTGGGTGGTGTGGGTTCTGGGCCTATGGCTCCGACCCGCCATGAGCCCCTAGGTTCCTGCTCCTTCCTCTCTGCACCCCCACGCCACCCCCGTGACCACTCCTCTGCCGGCTGCGTCACCCCTGACCCTCCGCACCTCCCACCCACAGTCTTAGCCCCGTCTCCCTGCCACCTCTGGAACGTTTCCAGCCGCCTCTAACCGTGTGACTCTCTCTTTGTCATTGTTTTTGTTTTTCTTTTTGGAGACAGGGTCTCACTGTATAGTTTCAGGCTGGGCTTAAACTCACTGTGTGGCCCAGGCTGCCTTCAAACTTGCAGCGATCCTCCTGCCTCAGCCTCCCTGAGTGCTGGGATCCCAGGCATGTGCCACCAAGCTTGGCCTTTTTCACTTTCCCTAGGGTTCTTCAGGGCTGCTAGGGAATTTCAGCCCCCACCTGGCCTTTCCCAGCTCCCTGCTGCCTCTGTGCCTTCTGCCGGCCTTAGCTCCCTGTGGGCGGGTGCTCACTTGTCCCATCATCATGCACCCTCTGAAGAGATGCCCTCCGTGTGCACGTGGTGTCTGCTGGGGGCAGTGCGCCGGAAAGGGGTGGCACGGGCGGCGACACTGATGGAGAGCTGGAGTTGCCGGCCTCAGGACCTGGAAAGCAAAGGGTTGGGTGTGCAGCGGCCGCAGGCTCCTCCTGTGCTGCTGGGAGCGAGCCCGGGGCCTTGAGTGCCAGGCCGGGGCTCCACCACTGAGCTGCACCCCAGCCCTGCGACTGTTCCCTTTTTCTTTCTCTTTTTCTTTTTTGAGATAAGTTCTCCCAATGTAGCTCAGGCTGGCTTTGAGCGCATAGCAAGCCTCCTGCCGCAGCTACCCCGCTGCTAGGATGATAGGCTTACACTACTATGCCCGGTGTGGGTTGTTTTTGTTTTTCGTAGTACTGAGGATTGAACTCAAGCCCAGGGCCTTCGAAATGAGCTGTACCCCAGCTCTTTTTGGATTTTTTTTTTTTATTTTGGGACAGAGTCTTTCTAAACCGCTAAGATGCCCAGGTTGGGCTTGAACTTGCGATCCTCCTGCCTTAGCCGCCCAGAGCGCTGGGATTACAGGCGTGCGCCACATCTCGCTTGACTGTTTATGGGCCCTCTCTGTCTGATACCTTGACACCCTTGCCACCTGGCTCGATCTTTATCACTTCCTCGGTTTACTTAACTCTCCCTGGCCTTGTCACCTTGCTCCTGGAGTCTGTTGACACTGTCACTTCCTCTGTTTAACTCCTCGTGGACAGGACTACCCGCTCTGCTCCCTCTGTCTTTGTTGATGTTCCTGCTTCCCCTATTTACTTAACTCCTTGTTGACAAGATTGTTTCCCGTTTCCTTAATTCCTTTAAGGCTGTAAAGTTAAAGCGGCGTCCAGATTGGCTTTTCTGGCTTGGGAGGCTTGTGTCAGCCTTTCCCTCTTCTGGCTTCTCTGTCACGCCTCATGATAGCTCAGAGAGGCCAAGCCAGGCCTCGGAGGCTACACAGTGCTTTAGGGGACGCCACGGACATGCGCCAGGCCCGCGAGGCTCCCTGTGGCCCATGGGGCTCCTGAGATGCTGGTATGGTAGGAGCCACCCTCACCTGCCCTGTGTGGTCTCCCCGCAGTCCCTGGATAGCTGGGGCACCTCCGAGGATGCTGATGCCCCTTCAAAGCGACACTCAACCTCTGACCTCTCAGACACGGCCTTCAGTGACATCAGGAGAGAAGGCTGGCTGTCTTACAAGCAGGTCCTCACCAAGAAGGGGAAGGTAAGCCGGGCGGAAGGCCAAGGCGGGAGGCGGAGGTCCGGCTCCCAAGGGCTGTGTTTGCCCTGCGGCCGCTCAGGTGGAAGGAGCAGCAGGGATGGGGTCAGGTCTGACCACAGCGGGTTTGGAATCCCAGCAACCTGTCCTCCAGCGACCCACAGGTCACCCTGAAAGTGGCTCTGGGGAGCAAGCCCAGGGGATCCCCCAGGGATCCCAGGTCCGAGAAGCCGGCGGAGGCTCAGCCTCTCCAGGTCCGGTAGCCCCAGGTCGCTCAGTTCTGGTATCTCAGGGCGGCAGAGACCCTGGCGCCCTGCTGAGGGTTATGGCCCTGGGGTGCCAGCTGGCCTCCTTGGGAGTACGTAGAGAAGGTAGCTCTGGAGGGGAGAAGACCTGATAGCGGCCACCGTGAGACCCCGGTGAGAGACAAGGGCTCAGGGACTGGGGCTGCGGGGAGGGTAGGGGACAGGCAGGGCCCAAAGAAGGCAAACCTTCGTCGAGGAAGAGCCAGGCAGGGTGGCTGCCCTCTGCTGTACCCCAGGTCCACCCTAGAGTGGCCAGGGACCTTATGATGAACCTGGGTTAGCTCCAGACCCACCCACCTACCTGTGACTCAGTATCCCCATCTGAGAGTAGAGCCACAGTAATCTCTACTCCTGACCTGTGTTGGGGGACAAAGGAAATAATGTGGTGGATGCTTTGTGGTACGGCGCTGCCATAGCAAGCAGGAGGCCCTGGGTCAGCCCTCAGCACCAGAAAGTTACAAGTAAGACACAATATATAAATAAACCGACAAGGCCGGGCGTGGTGGCACATGCCTGTAATCCCAGCACTCGGGAGGCTGAGGCAGGAGGATTGCCATGAGTTCAACTGAGGCCAGCCAGGGATATATAAGTGAGTTCAAGGCTGGCCTGAACTACATAGCAAGACCCTGCCTCAAAACAACCAAAATAAATAAAGAGATCGATGAGATGATCTCACCTGGCATGGTGCTACACACCTGTAATCCCAGGCCTTTGGGAGGCTGAGGCAGGAGGATTGCAACAAGTTAGAGGCCAGCC